AATGTCTTTGGGGTCATAGAAGACATTGTCGCCGGTGATGTCGAACGTCCCTAAACCTAATTCAAGAGGATTGATGACTGTGGTCGGATTTCCTAAACATTTGCGGACTTTTGCCGCCACCTCCATCAGCTGTTTTCCTTTGCGCGCAATTCTCGTGTCCATGTCTTCATTGGCGTAATCGTAGCCTTCTTCCGGCATACTGTCGGGAAAAATCTTCTCTTTTAAAAGAAGTTTACCAGCTTTTTCTGAGAAATTTTTTTCTAAAATTTGAAGTTTGCTCAACTCTGAAGGTATGCTGGAAAAAAAGTAGAACACATTAAACATATATGGAAATACCGATGAGCTCGGATTTTCGCACTTACACCTCTTTTTCTGCTGCCTCAGCGGTGGTGTTTTTGTTTTGTTTTTTTGTCTTCTTCTTTTTCTTCTTCTTCTTTTTCTTCTGTTTCTCTAGGCACAAAATTTTTTGGCTGTCGTCGTCGTTCACCTGCAAATCGTGTGGTGCGGTCATCTTTTTGTTGAGTTCATCTTCTTCTTCTGAGATTTGCAGTTTGCCCAGCTTTGAAGTTATGCTGCAGGGAAAAAATGGATAAAATACATTTAGCATTTGTGAAAACAAACAGATGAGCACACTGATTACACGTGTCTTGAAAACAGACATACATTTCGGCATCAGTCGGCAAAGTTGGGCTGCTGCTGCTGTTGTTCTTTTCCTTCTCCAGACATTCCTTTCCTGCAGACATTCTCTCTTTGGAGCTTTGGAAGTCTCTCAACGTACTATTCAGCGCACAGGTGGCCGACATCTTCCACTGTGCAATGTTGTACTTTTTCTTCTTCATAACTGTCGCCATTGTTGGGCGAGTCTCCATAAAGACAGCAGCAACAAAACAGCACAAACAGGATGAACAACCAGCAAAAACTGAAGAAGAATGAATGAGAGGTCCTCTTTTTTGCGTTCACAAAAAAGTGGTGAAGTGCACTACTGACTGGTGACTTTGAGGGCTTACGCGTATTGTGCACTCCAAAAAACTGTGTGGCCTAGCTACACCAAAACTCTCTCTCTCTCTTTCTCTCTCTCTCTCTCTCTCTCTCTCTCTCTCTCT